CCGCTCTGCCTCAGCTTGCCGCTGCGGTTCTGGGTGAATGTCCTCAAGAACCCGCATTTCGTCTTCGACGTCCACGTGCACGAGGTGGTGGACGCCTCCCTGTCCGTCATCGCCCAGACCTTCATGGACGCCTGCACGCGCACGGAGCACAAGCTGAGCCGCGTGAGTGGGCGCCGTGGGCCGCTCTGGGGGCTGCGGCCCAGGACACCGGAGGGCGGGTGGAGCCAGGCCCCGGGTGTGGCTGTGGCTGGAGGGCCCAGGGACGCTGTGCTGGCGCTGGGCTGAGGGGGGCGGAGGGGGGAGGCTCCCTGCGGTGCGTGGGCTCCGGAGAAAGGGAGGCGGACAGCCTGGGACGCCCCCGCTCTGCCTCATGTGGAGCCCACAGAATCCGAAGCTCCCCCTGTCTGGGGCTGGGCAGGGGTGGCTCCCCGGTCGGGCCTGTGTTCCCCACTCCCCTTCTTTTCTCTGTTGTGTGTTCGTGCTGAGCGGCCGGGCGCCTGGCTCTGTCCCCGCAGGACTCCCCCAGCAACAAGCTGCTCTACGCCAAGGAGATCTCCACCTACAAGAAGATGGTGGAGGAGTGAGTGCTCCCTGCCCCCAGCCAGACCCAGGCCCCCGGCCCTGACCCCACCCAGTGGGCCCCGGGGCGTGGTTCAGGCCTGTGACTGGGAGGGGGCCCTGCAGCCCCCAGGACCCCTGGTCGCACCCCTTCCCTAACCGTACCCCACACCCTTGCAGCTACTACAAGGGGATCAGACAGATGGTGCAGGTCAGCGACCAGGACATGAACACACACTTGGCAGAGATTTCCCGGGTAAGAGGAGACGCAGGGGCTGCAGCAGCTGACCCTGCCCCGACAGAGCCGCCCTGCCCTTCCCCTGATGCCCTCTGCCGTGTGGGGCAGGAGACTGTCCTTGGCAGGGGTTGGCCAGGTGGGCTGCCCCCTATGTGGGACCGCTGTGCCCTGGGGAGAGGGCTGTGTGAGCAGTATGCCTGTGTGGATGGGGGGGTGTGCCCGTCTGTGGCCGTCCCACATCCCTCCGACACGCCGGGACCCCGTGTATCTGTAGCCATTTGCTTCTGCACGCTGGGTCACGGTCCCTTTCTGTCCCTGTGCCCCCAGGCGCACACAGACTCCCTCAACACCCTGGTGGCCCTGCACCAGCTCTACCAGTACACGCAGAAGTACTATGACGAGGTACGGGGTGTCCTCCGGGGGAGGCAGTGCTTGAGAGGTCCCCTTCCCTGGCCTGCGCTGTGACGTGGCCTCCCCTCAGATCATCAACGCCCTGGAGGAGGATCCCGCTGCCCAGAAGATGCAGCTGGCCTTCCGCCTCCAGCAGATCGCGGCCGCGCTGGAGAACAAAGTCACAGACCTCTAACCTCTGACCTCTGCCACCGCTGCCTCTGGGCACAGGTGCGTGAGGCCCATGTCAGGCGTCGGGCGGCCCCTGGAACCTGAGGCCCAGTGGTGAGGCCCTTCCCTTTCACCAGCAGAGGAGGAGCCCCCGGGCGTCCACGTGTGGGTGCCTGCGGGTGCCCTCGCCTTGGCGTCTGGTGGCTGTAACGCCCTTCTCCTGAGCCACAGCGCCTGGCAACCTCCGGCACCAGCCCCCCCGCAGCACCAGCATCGGTGTCTGTGTCACACCTCCCAAGCGATTCGCGAACGTGCCTTACGCCCCTGGCGCTGCGCTGGATCGTGCCTGAGCACCAGCAGCCGCCTCAGATCCCTGGGTTTGGCCTCCTGGGGGTGTGCTGGGAGTGCCCATGGCCCTCAGGGCCTAGCGCCCAGATCGTGTCTGTCTGCCCCACCGGGGCAGGAGAAGTAATGCGGTACTCGCCTTCCTGACCTCACCTGGCCTGTCCTGTGGGGCGCGGGCTCTCCGGGTGGACTGCCTGTCCCGGGCCCCACCTCCAAGGTCAAGCTGGACGTCAGACGTCGAGGCCCAGGTGCCTGTCAGACAGGCTGTCCTGGAGGCCCTGGCCAGGTCTGAGGGGTCCCTGCAGCACCACCTGGACCATCCTCACCCCCACCCCCTTTTGTAAATTTTGTTAATTATAAATCAAATACAATTGTTTTTTTCACTCTGCTGGTTGGCTGGTTTCCTCCTGGGGGGCCGCAGACTGGTGGCTTGCCTCTTCCCCCGCCCTTCCCAGGCCTGTCCTGCTGAAGGTCTCTCTGTGGACACTGGCCCAGGTGGGCAGGGGGTTCCTCTGGGCCACCAGGGTGGCAGTAGGGACAGGAGAGTGCGCCCCGGAGTCCACACCCTCCCTGCCCCGCCCCCCTGCTCTAGGCCTGGGCCACGAGGGTCTGGATCTGGGAAAGGGGCTAACAGAGATTCTGGAACAGGTTGGCTGCAGAGGGGGAGGTGGGGAGGGTCGGCTGGGATTGGGTGGATCCTGCGCCATCTGCTGGCAGGACAGCCCTCGCCTGTCTTCCTTAGGCTGAATGACAGGTCCTGCCCCCGGGATGGGTAGGTGTGGCTTGGGCTTACTGTCTGGACCCTGAGCTCCCAGAGAGGGTGTCCTCTTTTCTAAGAAGGGGTACTTCACAGACATGGTCCAGCCAGCACACATTAAGTCACTGCTGCGTGCAGACCCCAGCACACACTGGCATGCCTCTGGGAGAGAGGGCCTGTGTCCCCCTCCTCAGGCTGTGGGGCCATTAGGGTCAGCTCTGTGGTCCCAAGAACAGCTCCAGGATGACTTAGGGCATAAGTAAGGCTGAAAGGCCATGTAAGGGAGAGTGAGGGTACCTTTGCCCATGCCTGAGGGAAGGGGTTGTCTGGGATTCTGGTGGAGGAAGGGGTTTGCTCCCAATCCCCGTGTTGCATGCAGGGGTGCAGCAGTGAGATGTCCCACCCCACAGCCGCTGGGCACACATACATGTCCAAGCACACACAGCATCAGCATGTCCGGCCGCTTCATTCGATAAATACACACTGTTCAGAGCCTGCCCCGAGAGAGCTCTTTTGCTTCAAGGACACCCCCCAGCAGAAAGGGGATTTTGTGATCCAGCCAGCTTCAGGTAAGGCTGGGTCCAGGTGCTCACACGTTTCCATGTGTCTGAACTCTTCCCAGCATACGCTGCTATGTCCTCGGATAGTGGGGACGCTGCTGACAGGCAGCCCCAGACTCCATCTCCTCCACTCGGGGCATGGCTGTGGCTGGGGATAGGCCGGGCCTTGATCATGAGCCCCAGGTGCACAGGGGGCAGCCCCACTCAAGCCACGTGGAACAGGTGTGGATATCTCCCATAAGGAAGGGGTACTAGGCAAACAACTGACACCCCCATCCCAGGACCCCGAAAATGACATGGTTATGACCCGTGCTAGGTTCCCCAAGATTCAGCTGTTCAGAAGCAGGGGAAAGTGCTAAGACGCGGACGCCTGGGGCAGGGAGGTGGGAGCCTAGAGGCCTGGCTTCCAGATTGGACATCCACAAGCCGCTCTTCCCTCCCTCCCTATACTGGACGGGACAGCCAGGCAAGAGCTGAGTCACTGAGGACCCCCTATATTCTGTGAAGCTTAGAGAGGAAGGGCTGCAGGTCCCAGGGATGGGGTTACCTTCCTTGGAGGACAGGAGTGTGAAGGGATCCAGGAGGGCTGTCCTATCATGGGGCCAGTGAAGGGTAGACACTGGGCATGCATGTTGGGGTGCAAGGCACGGTGGGGGAGGACAGGCCAGCCTCAAGTATTCAGGGTGCTGACAGACTGAGGGGCGACCCGCCCTCCTATTTCCACTTCCCCATTTCCTCCTAATGTGGGGATCAGGGGGGCAAGGATGGGAGGAAGCTGCACCCAACCTCAGTGACCTTCCAAGTTGCAGAAAACAGCCCAAGACCATGCACTGCTTGCTAAACAGCATGAACCCCACCCCACCCCCGCCCATCCCCTGGCCCCTATGACAGGACCACAGTAGGAAGTTCCTTCTGACCTCAGAAGTACAGCCAAGAGACCAGCAAGTGGCCAAAAAAGGGTGGCCTGGGCCAGTGGAGGGGAGAAGTGGACATGGAGATGAGGAGTGCGGTCTTGATTTTGACGGCTACTCGTGAATCCCAGGGGACGGGGGGCTCAAGGGAGCTGGGGATGAGGGTCCTGAGGCCCCCGGGGCTGATGTCTGGGGAGGAAGCTCTTCTGCCTGGGTTCCCCACCTGTGCCTGCTCACACCTGAGGCACCTGCCGCCCCCCACCCTGCTGCTCTCCCCTCCAAGCCATCACCTTCTCCAGGCTCAGGCCTCTCTCACCCAGACCACGCAACAGTTGTTCTGGACCTGGTGGCCAGGGTTGTGCTGTGAACATGTCCAGCAGGGCTCCCTATCAGCCTGAGAACAAAAATGACATCCCTGCCATGGCCCCACATAGCCAGCCACAACCCCCCAGCCCAGCCACCATACTTCTCTGTGCCCCAAGTCAAGCTCAGTCCTGGAGAAGGAGGACTGTGGACGCTTGGCCCAGCTCCACCCGTTTCCCCTCTCCAGGGGACTTCCTGACCTGTCCCGCCCTGTGTCCTCTCCCCACCGTAACCACCCAGGAAACCCCCTAGTTGCGGCTCATCAGTATTACAACCGCGACCCTCCCCAGAAGGCGGCTTGGCCAGGGTCCTGGGGACCAGGTGGGCACCCAGGGATGAATCATGACCGAGGGTCTCTGCTGGGCCTGACCGCGAGGAGGGGCCCGGGCTCTCCTAGGGGCGGCACAACCCCACCCCTCCGGCCGGGGCGGAAGGGCGGGGCCTATCGCCAAGGGAACCTCCCGGGCCCCGCCCGCCCGGCACAAACAAAGGCCGCCCCCCTTACCCCGGGCGCGCGGTCAGCGCCCGCTGCCCGCTGCTGGACGAGCCTCCTCTCCGGCCTTAGCTGAAGCTCCACGGACCCCGCACAGAATCCCAGCGCGCCTCAGCCGGCCCGGGAAACAGCGCAGGGCGGGGACTGCCGAGGAGGCGCGGAGTGGGGCGGCTGTGGGAGGGGACACCGGTGTCCTCACCCCAACACCGCCCGGCCTACACCGGCTCCTAGAGGGGAAACTGAGGCTGGGGACGGCTCGGGACTTGGCCGAGGTCGTGCAAGGCTGGCTGGTGCGACTGGGACTCGGCCGACACCACGGTCCGGGTTCACTGGGTAGTTACGTTTGCCTGGTACTGCGTCGACATGTTTTGTTTTAATCTGGCTGCCAATATTTGAAAATCAGGACATTTCCCATAAAAACTCAAGCTTTAGTTTGTTTGGAAGAGGAAGAAGATCGGGCAACAGCCCGACTGCCCACTTTCCTGGGAGACGCAGCCCCCCCAGCGCTCTCCCGACACAGAGGGCCCGGGGACACCTGTCACGGGGACAGCGCTGTCTCAGCACACTCGTCACTTTTAAGGGGGAAGTGACGATGCGCGGGCCCGAGCGCTAGACAGATGCGGGGAGGCCTTCTTGTTGGAACGAGGAACATTGCCCCGTGAGGAATCAACCTCCCAGGCCGTGAGAGGACGCGAGGAAACCTGTCGTGCACTGAGAAGGAGCTGCGGTTACATAGCTGAGGAGCCCCCCAGTACCTAGAAAAGTCAGGGTGGGCTTCCTGGGAGAGGTGACAACTGGGGGACGGGGTTAGAAGGAGGAAAGGCACCAGGAACCAAGAAAGACCCATTTGGAGATGGCCTTTTATGGGTACGGCCCCTCAAACGCCCCCCACACACACACCGGTGCCGCCGCTGTCCCTGGTCCTGACAGGGCTGGTCCCCAGGCCTGACCGAGGCGGGAGGCCGCTACCGGTCCACGGAAGGTTACCAGGTGACGAACCGCACCGCCAAGGCCGCAGCGGCCTCCGAGAGCAGGAAGCCCGGCGAGCCCAGGATCTAGGGCGCGTCCATCTGCCCACCCCACAGGGAGGCCTATCTGACCAAGTGTCCAGTTTTTCTGTAGTGATGAAAGAAATCTCTGCCCTGGCTTCTTCGATTTGGAGGGTTCGCCTTCATTTCAGAGGGAGCAGGCTGGTGGGGAGTCTCGCGCAGGGCCCGGAGCAGGGGGTGGGAGAGGAGGAATGCGTGCACCGGAGGTGCAGGCTCGGGTGCCGGCAGGGGAGGGTGCGGGGAGCAGAGGCTGGTGAGAGGCGGTGGCGTCCTGGATGGGGCGGTGCCCGGCCGAGCACAGATTGCGGGCGGATACTTGGGGAAGTGCGGACCCCAGGAGGTAGAGGCGGGCGGGGCGGCGAGCTGGACGCCGGCCGTCCCTCCCCCAGCGCGGGCGCAGCGGCCCCGGCCGAGCCCAGGAGGGGACCGCAGGGCTGGTTTCCGCCCGGCCGCCGCCAGGCAGGGGCAGGAAGCCGCGCGTCTGTCCCCGCGCACCACCCACCACCCACCACCCCCCGGCCCCGCCCCGCGCCGTCGCCCGCCGCCGCCTCCTCCCGCCGCCCTCCGTCCTCTTGGCTCCGGCTCCCGCGCGGGGCGGGGGCGGGGGCGCGGGGCGGGGCGCGGGCCGAGCGGCGGCCGCTTCGGACATGTCGGGCCCGCGCGCAGGCTTCTACCGGCTGGAGCTCAACAAGACCGTGTGGGAGGTGCCGCAGCGGCTGCAGGGGTTGCGCCCCGTGGGCTCCGGCGCCTACGGCTCGGTCTGGTAGGGGCGGCGGGGAGAGCGGGGAGGTGCGGGCGGGACTGAGCGCGCGCCCCCTCCCCTCCCTCTGCGAGGTGCCGGCGGGAGGGGCCTCGCCCCGCCTCCGCCCCCGGGCCTTTCACGGATCCCTGCAATGAATGGGGGGTGGGGGGCGTGAAGGAAACTTTCCCACCGGGCGCCGTTCGGGTTTGGGGAGAGGGGTCGTTCCTCCGTCCCGTCCCAGCCGGAGCATCCCCCACCAGGCCCAAATCCTGCGGCGTCACAGTCGGCGAAAGGGCGGGTCTCTTGCGCCCCTAAATGTGCAAGCATGCGTCTAGGTTGGCCCCCCACCCCCCCCATTCCCTCCGTCAAAGGTCTGGCATCCCTGGGGTCTGGCAGATGCCCAGGTACTACGGTGGGTAGTTTTGTTCGCCAAAGGAAAAGCCTAACTTGGGGGAGGGTAGGATCCCTCCCCTTAGAATGGCCTCAAGCTCCATGGTGGGTCCTGCCCCTCCCCTGTTTTCCGAAGGGTCTCAGACTCTGGCCAGGGCTTAGGCCTGAGCGAGATGCCTACCATCCCCCTACAATACTTGTGGGGATCTAGACCCCAGTCCATTTTTTTGCCCTAACCAAGGGAGCTCAGACCACAGCCCCACAGTTGGGCCCTGGGGCTCAGACAGAGCATAGTCTGGGATGGGAGAGAGGGTCAGGATTTGGGTGAGGCCTGTGTGGGTTTGGGGAGGGTCTAGGGGTCTTAGAGTAGGATGGTTGTAGGAAGTTGGTTGCAGGTGCCATACTGACGGGCTGAGTGAGGATGTGGGTGTTGAGCGGTGGCCCCCCAAACCCAGTGGGGTCATTACAGAGGCCTGAGCCAGGTGGCTGCTGTCCACTGAGGGAGTCTTGGAGGTGTGGAGGCCAGAGCCCCTAGGGATGGGGCATTGCTCCTGGCTCTGACAGAAAGTTAAGACTGGGACTTCCTGAAGTCCCCAGAGGTCCAGTACTGGAGCCTGGACCAAGGGTTTCTGCCCACCCCCCATCTCTTGTCATTGGCCCGCTTGTCAGAATCGTCCCGCTGGCCATCTCCTCCAACCCAGCCTCAGGTCTGTCTTCATCTCTAAGACCTCAAGGGTGGGAAGAGGGTCAGGATAATGCATGAGTGGTCCTTGGGGAATATAGAGTCCTTGCTGGAATCACCTTGGGTCTAGAATCACCTTCTGGGAGTTCCTAGAGAGTATCAAGCTCCCCAAAGGAGGCCTGGGTCCCCCACTGCACTTAGTTGATGGTGACCAGTGCAGGTGATTGCCCTCTCCTGGGCTCCTGTGTTCTCCTGATGAAGCTGGTGCCCCAGTGCCAAATTCCTGTCACTCGACTGTGCCGAAAACTGGGCAAAAGGATCCGCCGCCCGCATGAGCGGACATTCCCCTACCTGCCTCCCCAGAAGTGACAGACCTTTCCCCACAGGACACTGGGGGGGGGGGGCGTGGATGCCCCAGGCACCTAGCTAGCTTTCCTTCACCACCACCTGGGCCCATGGGCTTCCCAGGTGCTGCAGACACTGCTCCCAGGGCTGTGTAGACCCCACTCATTGCTGGGGGAAGCAGCATACTAGAGAGTGGAGGTAAAGGGAGAGGGAGGGAAGGAGTGAGCATCAGGGAGAGGAAGCAGTCTGTGTGAAGGCATGGATGGCTCTTAGCAGGGCTCCAGTGTTGGGCCAGTGGGACTCCGGGGTGTGGGGGGGCAGCCTTTGCATTTGAAGCTGATGCGTGTGGGCCTTGTGTCTCCTGTGAAGAGCAGATGCGTGGGCATCGGGACCTCTGGGGAAGGGGGTGGGCCAAGGGGAATGTTCCGTGGGTCCAGATCCTACATATTGTCCGGTTTCTCACTCTTAAAAATAATAACGCGGTAAACACCTTTGGCCAGTTTTTCCTCTGTATTTTGACTCTTCAGAGGTGTTGGGTACCCAGGGGCTTTGAAGGTGGCTCTGGAACCCTGCCGGGGGGCCTCCTGGAGCCATGAGTCAATAGGGGAGCCAGAGGACTGTTTGGGGGTGAAAAGGGATGGTTTAGTAATGGCTGTTTTCCTGACCTGGTTAGTGGAGACTCTCCCTCAGCCCTAAGCCGAGCTGGGGAAGAAGATCTAGGTTAGGACTCCCTGGTGGGGCAGGCCCAGCCCCTGTGGGTGGGAGGGTGGGCTGCCCCTTGAAGGAGCAGGCCCCAAAGAGGCACAGAGGAGAGGCTTTCTGGGTGCCGGTGTCGTCGTGTCCCATCCCCCAGCGGCCGTCTGAGCAAGCGCGGGGGCGGGAAGAAGAGCCCCCACGGGAGCAGGGGCGGGGTGCGGGGCGCGCCGCCGGGCCCCCACCGCGCCGCCTCACTTCCCCCGGTTGCAGCTCGGCCTATGACGCGCGGCTACGGCAGAAGGTGGCGGTAAAGAAGCTGTCGCGACCCTTCCAGTCGCTGATCCACGCGCGGAGAACGTACCGCGAGCTGCGGCTGCTCAAGCACCTGAAGCACGAGAACGTGAGCGGGGCGCGCTGGGCGGGTCCGCCGGGCGGCGGGGGCTCCCGGGGCTCCCGGGGCGCGCAGCACACAGGGCGCGTCCAGTCCTGACTCCCGCCCCACGCAGGTCATCGGGCTGCTGGACGTGTTCACGCCGGCCACCTCCATTGAGGACTTCAGCGAAGTGTGAGCGGCCGCCCGCGGGGCCACGGAGCGGAAGCGCGTTGGGGGTGGGGGGGGAGGCTGCGTCTCGGTGCTGACCCCCCCCTCCCAGGTACCTGGTGACCACCCTGATGGGCGCCGACCTGAACAACATCGTCAAGTGCCAGGCGCTGAGCGACGAGCACGTCCAGTTCCTGGTTTATCAGCTGCTGCGCGGGCTGAAGGTGGGCGCCGCAGGGGCGGGCACGGGGCGCGGGGCGGCGGTCAGAGCCTGACCCTGCCACCGCATCCCCCTCTCCCTCTCGCAGTACATCCACTCGGCAGGGATCATTCACCGGGTAGGTGCGGCGGAAGGGTGCGGGTCGGGGCTTCTGCAGGCCCCGCGCAGGGGCCCCTCCTGCGCTCACGCCCGCCTGCCCTGCAGGACCTGAAGCCCAGCAACGTGGCGGTGAACGAGGACTGCGAGCTGCGGGTGAGCCACCTGCAGGTGAGGGGCCTGCCTGGCTGCGGAGGGGTCATCCCGGGAGGTGCTGACAAGCCTGGTGGTCGCTCTAGATCCTGGACTTCGGGCTAGCCCGCCAGGCTGATGAAGAGATGACCGGCTATGTGGCCACTCGCTGGTACCGGGCCCCCGAGATCATGCTGAACTGGATGCACTACAACCAGACAGGTGACACCCGCTGGCCGGGCAGGTGTGCGGGGTGGGGCCTGGGTGGGCTGCAGTAATCACACCAGGGCCTGGGGACTGACGGCGGCGGGTACAGGGCCAGGAGCCCAGGCCCCTGGGGTGGTATGTGTCCAGTCTTGGAGGACAAGCATTCAAAAATGGACCACAGAGGGGCCAAGCACCGTGGGTCCTGGGCTAACTCTTCCCCCTCCCCAGCGTTGTACTTAGAGGAGTAAGGGGTCTGCTGTCTGGGGGCCTGGGTGCAACGGAGAGCCCACTGTGCACAGTCTGGGCAGCTCCCTAATTCTCGGAAGGGGCCCTTGGGGAGGGTGGACTGATGGAGCCTCCTTCCCCAACAGTGGACATCTGGTCTGTGGGCTGCATCATGGCTGAGCTGCTCCAGGGAAAGGCCCTCTTCCCAGGAAGTGACTGTATCCTTGGCCCAGGTGTGGGAGGAGGGTGAGCCAGGAGTCCCTTGTGCTGGGTGGGGCGCAGGGGAGGTGGGCACTGGCCCTTTCTGGCTGGCCTTGCCTTCTCTGCCCCATGCGGGGCCCCCTTGGGCTCGCTGACTCCAGCTGTAGGAGAGCAGGTTTTGGGTAGTGCCCCAAGGTCTGGGATCTGGGGGCCTGGGAAGGGTCTATTCCTGGCCAGTGGGCATTTCCTCAGCCGGACAGACATCGACCAGCTGAAGCGAATCATGGAAGTGGTGGGCACACCCAGCCCTGAGGTTCTAGCAAAGATTTCCTCAGAACACGTGAGTCGCTAGCTGCCCGCTCTCTCTGCTGACCCAGCTCCTGGGCACTCCAGAGGAAGGGCCTCTGTGGGAAGAGACTGGGAACCATGCGGGAGACCTGGGTCATGGTGGACTAGAGCCCAAGGCAGGTGCTTGAGCCCTTCAGGGAGAAACGGGTGAACAGGGAAGACATTCCCGGCACGAGGACAGTGAGGGTACAGTCTCAGCACTGACAGTGCCTTTGCCAAGGACAGTGGGGTGCTCCGGGCATCGGGAGCCAGGTAAGCCGCTGGAGCCACTGCATCCATGGTGGTAGGGGCCTTCTGGTGTGTGCAGGCTCTGGTCCAGGCCTGTCAGAGCGGGTGGGTCTGGGGATTTGTCTCAGCAAGTCCCTGCCTGGCTTTGGGCAGGAGGGGGCCGGTGTGTGAGCTGCCCCCTCAGGCCCTTCCTGTGTGCCCCCAGGCCCGGACCTACATCCAGTCCCTGCCTCCCATGCCCCAGAAGGACCTCAGGAGCATCTTCCATGGGGCCAACCCCCTGGGTGAGGATGGGCTCTGGGGCTGGGCTGGGCTCCCCGTCTGGCCCTAAGCGCACTGCTGACCACCCCCTTCCTATGGACCACTCCATAGCTGTGGACCTCCTGGGAAGGATGCTGGTGCTCGACAGCGACCAGAGGGTCAGTGCGGCGGAGGCCCTGGCCCATGCCTACTTCAGCCAGTACCATGACCCCGATGATGAGCCTGAGGCTGAGCCCTACGATGAGAGTGTTGAGGCCAAGGAGCGCACCGTGGAGGAGTGGAAGGGTGAGAGGTGGGGCCCAGGGCCAGGGGTTGGGCGGTGAGAGAAGTGGAGCCAGGGGCCTGACCCTGGCTTCATTCCCCGGCAGGCTAGGAGTTGCTTGTTTCCTGCTGGAAGCATCCCACTCCTCCCCAGAGTGGTTCCCACACTGCCCGCGCTCCTGGGGCTGGGCTCTGTCCAGCAGAGGCTTGGGGCAGCACAGGGCGGGCTCTAGAAGGAAGCCCCCTGGGGCCGAGACTGCCCTCAGGATGGTGGGCCCGGGCTGGGCAGCTAGCACCGGACAGTCAGGTGGGGGCTGTGGGCCAGTGACGGCTCGAGTTCAGCCTTTCCCTTCACTCCCTAGAGCTCACCTACCAGGAAGTCCTCAGCTTCAAGCCCGCAGAGCCACCGCAGTCTCCCAGCAGCCTGGAGATTGAGCAGTGAGAACACGTGCCTGCTGGCCCCTGGGACTGGAGGACGGGCAGGAGCATGCCGGCCCGCTTCCGCAGCCTGCTGGATTCCCACGAGGGCTGCCTCCCAGCACCACTGTGGCCAGCACCCTGAGCCTAGCTGGGGCTCCCTCGCCTGCACGCTGCCCGTCGTGGGCAGTCTGTACGCATGTGAACGCACAAGAGTGTGCATGGGTGCAGGCCACGAGTGCAGGCGTCCAGACAGAGCACCCTGGACTTCCTCAGTTCTCTGCCTCCTCCCAACCACCTGGGTCTCCCGTAGGACCTCATCTGGATGCCTTGGGGTTCCCCGGGGAATATGTCTGTCTCCAAACCTCCTCAGTCCCAGAGGGCTGTCTCTGGAGGGCGTGGTGCCCTGGGGCCAGGCCCTCTGGAGACTGAAGGGAGGGTCTTGGTTGTCAGAGCCTCTCAACCTGGAAGGGGCGGCTGTCCTGGGAAATGCTGAGACCCTGAAGGTCTGAAAGCTGAGACCGTCACCACGTATCAGATGAGAAGACCATCCTGGAGCCCCGTGTTCCCCTGGGCCATATGTGGCACGCGCATACTAATGCTCCCGGTACTGACATGCCAAGGCGCGTGTGAATCTGGGGGGGCCTGAGAGCCAGCTGCCGTGAGCAGCTGGAAGCCTGAAGTGAGGTGCCTCTGCTGTTACTTCCCTTCCATGCCAGCGGCTCTGGTGGACAAAGGGCAACCAGGGAACAAAAGCCAGGGCTTTCTCCTGGAGTGTGGGGGTTGCAGCAGACATGAAGAGGTGGTTGGCACAGGGGGTTCCAGGCTTGATGCTGGTGGGGGGGGGAGGGGCACACCCCAGTGTGCCCTTGGACTCAGACCCTGACCTTGGCCAGCAGCTGATGAAGAAGCCTCTGCCTGCTCTTGCTCTACCTCTGCCCCCCCTCCGGCCCTGCAGCTGAGCCCTGGACTGTTCTGCGCTCTGGGTCTGCTCGCCTCCTCCCTTCTTCCAGAACGGAGCTGGTCCAGTAACCTGTGGACATGACCCTGCTCAAGATGTTGGGGGTGTGGGTCCCCCAGCGAGGGGCTTCTCTTTGAGGAGGTGGTGTCCCGTGTGTCGGATGGTGACTCCCCACCTTGCAGAGGTCTCAACGTCAAGTGCCTGCACCGGGGTTTCACAATAAAGGGGGTTCTCTCCCACTCAGCTTGTGTCCCGAGGCCCTGCTGCCTGGAGCGGGGAGGTGGGAGCTGGATCTGCGCCTCACACTCCCAGCTGCTCTGACCCCACCAGTCGCCAGTCGGACAAGCAGCCATATTCAGCCCAGCACCCTCCCTGCTCCTGGAGAGCCGAGGGCCATGGTTGGGGGGGTGGGTGGCTGGGTGAGTTCTGGGCCCAGGCTGGTAGGCTCTGATCCAGGACAGGGCTTGAGGCAACCACAGATCAGCCCACTGCCGGGGGGGCTCACCGGGCAAGCTCAGCTTCTGGTCTGGTTGCAGCTTTGCCCCTTCTCTCAGTGGTCAGGGAAGCTGCTGGTGGACAGCCAGGGCTCCCTGAGAGCAAAGGCTTGTCCTGCCCCTGAGCTGGGTAAAGCGGGGAAAGTAGCTTTCCTTTCCTTCCTGTTTAAGGGGAGAGAGGGCCACTCCAGCCCTCAGGATGTCCACCGAGCTCCTGCTGCTGACCGCGGCTCGGGAGGAAGAGCACTGGCCTCAACAGGGATGGGGCAGAACTTCCCTTGGATGGGGCATCTGTGCCCTTGCCCTGGGCCTTGGGGGTGGAGATCTTCTAGGAGCCCCACCAGGGGCTGGTCAGTGTAGCTACAGGGCCTCAGGTCCTGGGGAATGGGAGCAGAGCTGGGACACGCCCCGCGTGGGGAAATCTGCCAGACCCCTGGGCCCCACCATAAGTAAGTGAGCCAGCTAGGGGCTTCCTGGAGGAGGCAACCCAGGGCATGAAGGGCACAGGTGGTTGTGACTCCAGCGACCCCAGGCCGCTCTGACTGGTCTCCAGCTGCTGGGTGGTGCGGAAGACCAGCTCGCAGCCCGGGTGTAAAGCTGCCCTGGCCGGCTCTGAGCTGCTGATTCATGGTGTCTGTGGCCAGGAGGGCACAGAGGAGCGGCGGGGGGCCCTGCGAATCGTGTTACCCCACTCTGTCTCTGACCTGTCTCACTGAGCTGGGGGAGGTCTGGGAGAGGTCTCTGTCTTCCAAGAGCATCTGGTCCAGGGTGTGGCCAGACCTCTGGAAGGAGGATGCCGATGCCCCCACTGAGGGGTAAGGGGGGCACTGAAGGCCCAAGCTGGGCCCTCCTTCAACCCTGGGGTCAGGCTCAGGCCAGGCTTAGGACAAATGAGGAGAAAGTTGGGAAGGAGGCAGAACAGGCAAAGGGACCCCCACAGACTTGGAGCAGGCTTCCCACCTGCCAGGTGTGTGCAGAGAAGGGAGCTGGGTGTGCACCAGGGCCCAAGGAAGACCTACAGGACCAGCCCCTCTGGCTCCTGGGGTTGGGAGGCCTGGGGTCGGTGGTCACAGGGAGGAGGCCCAGCTCCTCCACGGGGAAAGGGGGATGCAGGCGTTGGGTGCTGGGGGACCCCACACTGGGATGTAGATGGATCCGCTCCAGGGGAACGGGGAGGCCTGGGGGGTGGGCGGTTGGCCTGGGGGACACAGCATTCAGCTCAGGGCACTCCGGGGTGGGGCGCCCGGGTTGATGGGGTGGAGCTGGTGAGGGAGGCAGACGATGACTTGCAGCTGGGAATAGAAGTGCTAAGGTCCGACTGTCCAGGATGGGTCCAGCTCCCCGGGCGCGTGGCTACTAAGGGGGAGCCGGAGCCCCACGGAACTGGTGCTAAGACACCCCCAACCCGGCCCCGGGGAGTCCGGCCCGGCCCGGGTGAAGAGGCGGCCGGGGTCTCCAGTGCGGTCCGGCCCGACGCGGCCCGGCGGCGCTCCGCTCCCCCGCTCCGCCCCTCCCCCAGCTCCCCCCCTTCCCCGCCCGCGGCGGTCGCCTCAGGTTTCCGCCGGGGCCGGAGGGCGGGCGGGGGCGTCACGTGCGCGCGGCCCGGGGGCCGGTTGGTCCGCAGGCGGGGGAGGGACCGCGCGCTCCCCGGGCCGGGGCTGGGGTCGGGCCGGGGTCTGCGGCTCCCGACTCCCTGGAGGGCGGCCCCAGGACGGAGAGAGCCGGAGGCCGGAGGGCCCCAGCGGCGGCCGGGCGACGGCGCGGAGCAGGCTTTGCCCACGCGGTGGCCCCGGCTGATCCCGGGCGCCCGGTCCTCGCGGCGCAGCGCCCACGGGGTCGGTGGCGAGGGCGGCGCCTGGGCCGGCCATGAGCTCGCCGCCGCCCGCCCGTAGGGGCTTCTACCGCCAGGAGGTGACCAGGACGGCCTGGGAGGTGCGCGCCGTGTACCAGGACCTGCAGCCCGTGGGCTCGGGCGCCTACGGCGCGGTGTGGTGAGCGCGAGCCGGGCGGGGCGGGGGCGCGCGGGGGCGCGGGGACGCGCGGGCCTCCAGCTGACCCGTGCGCCCCGCAGCTCGGCGGTGGACAGCCGCACTGGCGCCAAGGTGGCCATCAAGAAGCTGTACCGGCCCTTCCAGTCCGAGCTGTACGCCAAGCGCGCCTACCGCGAGCTGCGTCTCCTCAAGCACATGCGCCACGAGAACGTGAGTCGCGCCAGTGTCCCCTCCCCCCACCCCGCCCGCGGACCCTGCCCCCTCGGCGCCCCCGCCCGTGCGATGGCTGGAGACTGGGGGGCCAGGCCGTTGTACCCCGGAATTGGGGGGGCTCCACGTGGTGAGCCCTGAGAGCCGCTGCTTCCCTGGGGTCCAGGCCTCCCTGCGAAGCCGGTGCCCGCGAAGGGCTTAGCTCCTTGGCTTCCTCCTGGGGCCGCATCTGCTTCTTCAACCCAGGTCCTAGTCGGGTCACGGCCCCTGGCCCAGGCCAAGGGCACCCTGGGCATCTCACCCCAACCCTACCTCCAGCCAGGAGCCTGGAGGTGAGAGAGGACGCGCACAGACGACCAGCGGTTACTCTGCAAGGAACGCTCAGCCTCTTCCCTCTTGCTGGGCATCGCACAGGCCACAGCCCAGGCCCCCTTCTCCAGCCCCTCCTCTGAGCGTTCTGCTCCAGAGCTGGACACGGAGCAGGAGCCGGCGTCCTGGCAGGGGCACCTCAGAGCCTTGCAGTCTCCTGTGTGGAGGGGTTGAGGGAGCTGCTGTGTGGAGGGCACTAAGAAGAGTGGCCCCCCCCCCCCCCGCCCCCAATGACTTCTTCCATGCAGGGAGGGATGGCGGATCTGGGGCCCTAAGGGGGAAGGGTCTCCCTTGTTTCGGGACCTGCCCATAGGACACCACGTGCGGCTGCCCTGGGACTCTCTTGTGGCCACTGCTGGCTTCTGAGAGCCCTCCTTCCTCCTCCCTCCTCTCTCCTCCCTCCTGGGACAGCTGTTGTTCTCCATGTTCCTCCTACAGCCCCGGGCTCTGCGTCTCCCACATAGACCATTCCTGCCACACCCCTTGTTTGGGCCCCCTCTCAGGGCTGGTGGTTTGGGTACCCAGACCCTGGGCTGATCATGCTCTAGACAGATGGTCTGGGCCCTCCTGGACCATCAAAGCCGCCAGCCTCCATCGGGGAACACGAGTCCCATGTCTGCCAGGAAACTTGTTCCCTCAGTTCTTGGCTGATGCTAACCCTCTTAACCCCTTGAGTGGGTCCTTCGTTCCCTCATACTTTCCATCTCTGTCCTTAGCCTTTCCCCAGTGAAGCCCACTCACGGTGGACAGCAGCCCAGCCCCGACCTCACCGCATGGTGGTTACACCCAGTCATGCCCAGGCTTGGTTCCCATGGAGACAGAGTCTGCCCCCTCAAGGTTTCCTCCTCCTCCCCAAACACCCCCCACTCCCACTCCCCACCCTGCCCATCCCCTAAGGTCTCAGGGCTTTCTCTTCAGACGCTGCTCACCCATGGCCCAGTCCCCTCCTCTGTGCCATCACAGTTGAGGTCCTGATCCGCCAGCCACAGGAGCCACTGCCTCCGTGGGCCCTGCACACAGCTGGGAGGCTCTGCCAGACATCACCTTGCTTTCTTAGGAGAACGCTGAGGCTGTAAGAGGCCGAGTGCCACGGCAGGGGCTGCCCTTCCGCCCTTCCCCTACTTAAGGCCAGAAGCCGCACTGCAGAGGCACAGAAGTCTCTAGCAACCTAACAGATCCTCCTCACCCTTGGGAACCCTGTCTTTTAACCTCTTCTTGCCAAGACACTGTCCCAGTGCCCCAGGCCTCCCTGGCTTCCACGCCCCTCAGTGAACATCCCTCTCAGTTCTCTCCTCCCCTGTGCCCATGACTCCAGCCCTGCTGGCCGCAGAGCTCACCTCTGCCCTCCACCTGTGTGGAGTGTCCCTCCACCTGTGTCCACTCTTGCCTCCCTCCTGTCTGTCCCCACACAGCAAGCAGTGGACACACTTGTTTAAACCCTTGCTCAGAAGCTCATAGGGTCCAAGCCAGACCTTCACCTGGCATGCACGGGCCTGCTCGGGCTCCCTCTGGCCTCTCCTTGGCTACTCCCTGGCTTGGGCCTTGGCCACCTGGCCTTTCTCCCTGTGTTCCTCAAACACTTGAAGTGTTCTCCCTTCCACCTCGGCCGTCGTTCGCACGGCCTCTGCCAGGTGTCCCCCCCGCTGGCACTTCCATCTGGCCACTCTGCTGTATAGGCCTCCCAGGGGTTGGCAGGGCGGGCTCCGCTGCTGGCCTGCCTGGGGCTCTCCAACAGGGGCGAAGCCCCCGATGGACCTGCTGGTTGTTGGCCCTCCCCCAGGAGGCTGTCCCCTCTGGTCTCTGGTCTTCCGGGGAGATAAGAAGAGGAGGAGGAAGGGCCATGGGAACTGCCCCTCCCCCAGGGGATTCCTATGGTCACTGTTCAAAAATAGCCTGTGTCTAGGGGCATGTGTGCCAGGGCTGGGCCACCCTGTCAGGAGACAGAGCCAGACCCCGCGGACATTGGGAGGAGATGGGGACGGCTGTGGGGGGCTTTCCTGCCCTGAGCACAGTGCCCGCTTTGGGGGTGTACCCGAGCCGCCGTGCCCTCTGCTGAGCCCCCATTCCACACAGTACTCCGGGTTCCTCCCCAGGTCATCGGGCTGCTGGATGTGTTCACTCCTGATGAAACCCTGGATGATTTCACAGACTTGTGAGTGTGGTCTTGGGCAGGCTGTGCAGGGTAACAGAGTGTTGGGTTGCTGCTGGGTGCTGACTCAGGTTCTGTGTTGGCATGCGGGCCTCCCTGCAGCCCGGGTTGGGGTCCCGAACCCAGGATCCATGGCAGTGGCATGGCTGGGTGGATCCTGGGCCTCCTCCCACCACACTGGGGGCCCACCACACTGGGCACTGGCCCCCTCCAGAGCTGGAGGTGCGAGCGCGGGACCCATCTGTTAGTCGGCAGGTCCCGTGCTCTCGGACCCTGGCACTGTGTGTGGCCTGTATGGAGAGCTGCTCCTTTGCTGGCAGGCAGGGGAGGGGTAGCAGTTGGCCTGCCTGTGGCTGCCGTCCCTGGATTCATACTGCGGTGGGCCAAGAGCCAGAGGCTGAGCTGGGGAAGGGCTGAGGACAGCTCCTCACCCTCTGACCTTGCAGAGGTCAAGGACCTGCACAGGCCCCTGTCCTGGCGAGGTGCTAAATGTCTGTCCTCTGTGGCTCTCTCCTGCCACCTGTCCAGTGTGCTCCTCTGACCCATGTGTCCTGCTGTCCCCACCCCTGCCCACAGGCCCTGCCCTCCTTTCTCTGGCCCCCTCTTTTGCCTGTGATCCCTGATGCTGCCCGGATCCTAGCCTCCATGCGGCCCTGCAGGAAACCGTTCTGGGGCAGGGTGGGCAGAGGAGCTGTGGCTGGGCTTGGGAGAGGTGGGTGGAGCCTGGCGCTGCCAGAGTGTGGAAAGGGGAGCCCATGTGCCGAGGGACCATCTCTGGGATCCCCAGGGGCCGAGTGGGTGTGACACCTGGCATCTGCACCCACCCCGTCCCTCAGTTACCTGGTGATGCCGTTCATGGGGACTGACCTGGGCAAGCTCATGAAGCACGAGAAGCTGAGTGAGGACCGAATCCAGTTCCTCGTCTACCAGATGCTGAAGGGGCTAAAGGTGGGGGTGTGCGGGGTGCAGTGGGCCGGGGTGGGACTGCCGGCCCGTGGCTCTGGGGTCTCAGGGAGCTGACTGCCGCACTGTCTCTGTCCCTGTAGTATATCCATGCTGCTGGCATCATCCACAGGGTAGGTCCTCGTGGTGGTGGGAGGTCCCCCTGGCCTATAGGTGAGGGAGGGGCCTGGCTGCCTGGAGCCCCCATCGCGGGGGCACAGCTGTTGGGGGCGAGAGACCAGTGCCCTTCTTGGAAGGGCTGCTGGGTGGGGCTGACCGGAGGTGGGGAACGGGGGCTCTTCTCTGCGTATGCCCCCATGGGAGGGGCTGCGCGGCCACCTCTCTCCTGCCCCCAGGACCTGAAGCCCAGCAATCTGGCAGTGAACGAGGACTGTGAGCTGAAGGTGTGTGTTGTGGGGGAGGATCTCCCCACCTATCCATCTGCCTGTTGCCCTTGGCCCTCAGGCCCAGGCAGAGGGCTCAGACCCCAGCCATCTAGGCCAGGGTGGCACTGGATACTGGAGGGCATGGGGCACACTTTGTATCTCATTGCAGTGAAGGAAGGGAAGTGGCCCCAGTCTCTGATGCCTGAGCCAGGATAGGGCCAAGGGTCCTCTCCAAATGGACTGGCCAGGTCCTGGGGTGGGCAGGGAGTAGAGGAGCAGGGAAAGGACACCTCCTGGGGCACCTGCTCCTGAAGGTGGTGGAGGACAAGGTCAGTGGGGCCAGAAGCACTGGCCATGGGGAGGAACTCATGGGGAGGCTGGGGGAGTCTGTGGCCATGACCTCGGGTCCTGGAGGGCTGGCGGGAGGCCCCAGTGTGCCCAGTTCTCCCGGATCACAGGCTGACCCGGCTACTCCCTGGGGCCCCTCTGCCCCACCTTCTCGATTCTGACCGTAGATCCTGGACTTCGGCCTGGCAAGGCAGGCCGACAGCGAGATGACCGGGTATGTGGTGACCCGGTGGTACCGGGCACCCGAGGTCATCTTGAATTGGACGCGCTACACGCAGACGGGTGAGAAGCTGCCCAGAGACGCAGAGCCGCCCTGGCGCCAGCCTCCCGGGCCACACCCCCCGGCTTCCAATTCTTCATGGGAAGTCCGGGGCCGGCTCCTCCCCGGGAAGGCTGCTGAGCTGGGATGGGAGCCTGGTGAGGGCATGACAGGCTAGACACGGCCACCTTGTCCGTGTCTCTCCCCCGCCCCCCACCTCGACGTGTGTGTGCCCCTACCCTCCCTGGCCTCCAGAGCCCTGACGCAGGGACTTCTGTCTCAGTGGACATCTGGTCGGCGGGCTGCATCATGGCGGAGATGATCACAGGGAAGACGCTGTTCAAGGGCAGTGACCGTATCCTACCCTTGTCCGGGGGTAGGCAGGGCCTGGGTGGGGGCTGGGCATGCTGCCCAGGCCTGGAGGGGGCGCGCGCTGCTCTCCGCCCTGTTCTGTGCTCCTGACCTTGGTGCAGACCTGGACCAGCTGAAGGAGATCATGAAGGTGACCGGGACGCCTCCTGCCGAGTTTGTTCAGAGGCTGCAGAGTGCCGATGTCAGTTGGGAGCTGGACGGGGGCTGCGGGGGCTGGGCCTGGGTCTGGGGGTCGGACCCTTACCTTTGCTTCCCGAAAAGGCGAAGAACTACATGAAGGGCCTCCCCGAGTTGGAGAAGAAGGATTTTGCCTCCATCCTGACTAATGCAAGCCCTCTAGGTAGGACTGGACTGCGGGGGGAGCGTTGGGCCAGGGACTAGGGCACTGCGGCCTGGGACCCTCCCTGAGCAGCCCTCCCCATAGCCGTGAACCTTCTGGAGAAAATGCTGGTGCTGGATGCAGAGCGGCGGGTGACTGCGGCTGAGGCGCTGACCCACCCCTACTTCGAGTCACTGCAGGACACGGAGGACGAGCCCACGGCCCAGAAGTATGATGAGTCCTTTGATGATATGGATCACACGCTGGACGAGTGGAAACGTAAGTGGGGGCTCTGGGCGGGGCCTGTGGAGGGACCTGGAGAGCCCAGTGCCGGGCTCCAGGGCTCAGGGTTGGGTCCCCCTACCTGGGGATGCTGGTCATGTGAGGGATACACAGATGGTCAGAGGGCAGTGGGGCTTCTTGGCCAAGGTGACCTCTGGCTGAAGCTGAAGGACGAGACAATGTCCCTGGCAGGGGGCTCAGCACTGACAAGAACAGGAGGTGAATTCTGAAGACTGTGGGAGACAGCTCCCAGCTCAGGGAAGTTGTGAGCCCTAACTCTCTCCCTGCCCTGGCGGCCCGGCCCCAGCGCTGCCCGTCTTCCCCCTGTCCTGGCCAGAGACCTGGGCTTTTCTGGAGCCCCTCTGCACCCTCTTGTCCCCCAGACCTCCGCTGTTCCCTCTTGAGGTTGTCCTTGTCTTTGCACTCTCTTTTTAAAAAAAGATTTACTTAGTTATTTTAGAGGGAGGGAGGGAGGGAGGGAGGGAGGGGTGGGCATGTGCACGTGGGAAGCGGGGCAGGGCAGAGGGAGGGAGAGGACCTCAAGCAGACGCTCCTGAGTGTGCAGCCTAACACAGGGCTTGATATCACGACGCGGAGATCCTGACCTGAGCCAGAACCAAGAGTTGCACACTCCACTGGCTGAGCCACGCGGGCGGCCTCTTTGCCCCTTTCAGGACCTCTCGCACCTGGACTGCTGCACACCGGGTGGCAGGATAGGGCCCACCCCAGGAAGCCTCCTCCACATCCCTGCCCACTCCTTGGAGTCCCGCTGAGCCGTGCAGACCCACCGAAGCCTGTGCTTGGCACCACCAGGCTGGGCACTGGCAGTCGCCTTAGAGCGATGTCCCCTGCCCTCATCTTTCAGGGCCCAACCAGCACATGCTAGGCCTCAGGCTGGGCTCGGGGACACTGCCAGGTGCTCAGGCTGCATGCTGGGACTGGCTTTGCAGGACGGCAGGCAATGAGGGCTGGGCTCCGTGTCTTTCTCTTGGTGGCTGTAGGACCAGCCTGGAGGGTGCTGGAAATATCTGCAGACAGCATTCAGGTCCGGTCCTGGCTCTGCCTCAGACCTGGGCCTTGGTGCTGCACATGGGGGTGGGGTGGGACGGGACTGGTGGTTCTCAGACCCTGTTCCTTGGTTACTGGGCAGCTTGGTGCCTCCGGCAGGGCCCCACTCTTATCTGTGCTTGTACGTTGGGTTTGGTTTGATGAAAGTCTTCTGTTGCTAAAAAAGATGAAAACCACGAGCCACAGAACCCTTTCTGTGGTCCCCACCCACACACAGTGGTAAGAACTTTCACTTTTGCTGCAGACCATGGTGAACACGTGACCTGTTTGTGGCCGAGCCCCCAGTTAGGAATGCTGACACTCTTCACCTCCATTGCTCTGGGAATAGCCAGCTTCACACAAACCTCCCCTGTGGGGGCTGACCCCCAGGTTAGGGTTAGGTGAGGGGCCTGGGGGCCCCCGATGGGGCAGGAGCACACAGGTGCCACGAGCAGGGCGAGCCACACAGAGCACCTGCTCTAAACACACAGTGTTTCCCGCGCTGGGCCTGTGGAGGACCGGTGTTCCCCAGACGGGTGCTCCACTGGCCAGATGAGCATGGGAATGCTGGGGGAGGCTATGCAGAGCCGTCCCTTTGCAGGCTGCTCAGAGGGAAAGCACATCGGGCCTTCTCCCTTCCTCTGGGATGGCTGGCTCTGGGCTCACATTTCAGGGACCATGAACATCTGGCGAGGAGGGTAGAAGCTGTGGGTGTTTGTGGGAATTCTTGTCACTGGAGTTGTTGTGGATATCCGGGACCCAGGAACTGGGCTGTGTTCTGGTGGGACCACTTGAGTAGACACATGGATTTATACTCGGAGGACAGGGTCTGCTCATTACGTCAGGGTGTGAGGCTGGGGCCCACCTGGCCACTCCAGGGCTGCAGGAGCCCCATCAAGGCGGATAGCTCCTGTGGATGGACACAGGTGGGCTGAGTGTGGCCACAGCCTGCGATGAAGTCGCATGTGTGGGACAAGGGCAGCCTATCCGGCACCTGCACTCCAGCAGTGACTTCTGACCCTGATATTTTTGGGGACCGCCTAGGCCCCTAGGTCAGTGGCCAACAGCCTGTGCTATAGGCCCGGGAGCTCTCTCCTCCCCCACCCTGAGAGGCAAGTACCAGTGCCCTGGGCCCAGTGCTCTTCCTGGGTCACTGGCTTCCACCCTGGGTGTTGATCCCAGGAGGTGATTCTGAAGGGTGATGAAGTCCCTTCTCCCATGACAGTCTGTCTCTGTCACCCCGACCCAGGTGTCACATACAAAGAAGTGCTCAGCTTCAAGCCTCCCCGGCAGCTGGGGACCAAGGTCTCCAAGGAGACGGCTCTGTGAAGACCCCTGGGCCCTGAGAGGTGGTGAGGATGCCTTGGGGATCCTGGCTGGGGCTCCTACCTGGAAGGGCGATCCTAACGATCACTGTGACTTGGCTGAGGCTTATGTCCCAGGAGACCTCTGGCTCCACGGATCCTCCCACCCACCCAAGGCTGTTACCCTGCTCTCAAGGCTCCCACTTCAGTCTAAACTTGGGGGAACATCTGGACCTTCTGGACAGGATGTCAGCCTGACCGGGGACTGGCCTCTGACTCCCTGAGCGGTGGTCCCCTCCCCCAGATGCAACAACAAGCTTCAGAGCCTGTGTGGGGCTGGGAGGTGAGGCGTGGGGTCAAGGCCTGGCCTCTGACCTTGCCTGCTCCAGCCCCTGCCGAAGCCCAGCTGAAACAGCTGAGAAAGGACAGGGTGGGCGCACAGTGCCTACTCAGGGACGTCTGTCCTGGGGGGGTGTGGCTGTGGACTCCCCTGCACCCCCAGCCCAGAATGGGCCATGCCGACACAGCTGGAAGGAATAAACCCTTTTGTAGAGAGCACACTCTGGCTTTCCTAATTCTCAGGCTGGATCTTCACTTCTGGGCGTCTGAGCTGCAGCCTGGCACAGAGAAGCTGGCCATGGGGCCCCAGGCCCTACTCAGCAGCTGGGCCTGGGCACCTCCTTCCTTCCAGGTCCACAGTGAGCCCAGAGCCTGAAGCCCCTGCACTGGGGATGGGCCCCGCCTTCCTCTAAAGGCTCAGATTCTGGAGCCAGACGCCAGGCACTGCCTGATGAGGACGGGGTTAGGCTCCGACCTGGGGCCCAGTCCCAGCTGTCTGGGCTCCCTTCGCTCTCAAAGCCAGGCTCCTAGCGAGGAGGGGTCCCGCTTGGCGCTTTGAGACACCAGTGGCACCCCAGCGCCCTCGGCGAGCCCTCTGCCAGCCACTGGACGTCGCGGAGAGCTGACAGCGGGGTCAGGGGCCACTCCGGGGCTCCTGCGTCTGCCCTGGCTCCTCCCATCTGTCCGACGGCAGGGGCGCCGAAAGCTGGGCCAGGCCGTCCCCCTTCTTCCCGCCTGGAGCTCGGCCGCACACGCGAACGGCTGGCCCAGTCAAGTATGGTCGGACAAGTTGTCAAAGTGGACACGGACCTCCTCCGCTCCGGGCTCTGCGACGCCCCCCGGACGAACGCGGGCCGGGACCCTCCGCGCGGGGAGATTCCTGGAGGGGCAGGGCGCCCCGGGCCCCGCCCTAGAGCCACGTGACCCAGGATGGCCGCTCAGTGTGCGCCACTGCGCAGCCGCCGTGATGGGCGCAGGGGCGGGCACCGGACCCAAAGAGCCGGTTGGGGTCTTCCCAGAGCCCCGATGGGACTCCCGCAGCCCTCGCTGGCGGGTGCCTGGGTCGGGAGCGTGGGGGCCCCCGCGGGGTCGCGCGCCGCGGTGGGCAGGGCACTCTCGGGGCAGCCGTCGAGGTCGTTCCGGCACTCTGGGGAGCCGAGGAACGGGATTGCTGGCGACCCCGCCCCAGGGCCCCCACTTCCAAGACCCCCGGTCCTCAGGACTTGCGCTCCGGGCCCCGCCTTCTAGAAGCCCGCCCTCCCCCGCGCGCGGCCTCCCGAGGCCCCGCCCCCGGAACCTGCCTCGAGACCCCGGGGCCCTGTCTCCCGCGAGCGCGCGCCGGGCCCTCGGGCCCTCGGCCCCGCCCCCACGAGGCCCCGCCCCCGCGAGGTCCGTAGAGCCCCGGGGTTTCCCGCCGGCGGTTCCCGCGTGCGCGCTCTGCGGGGCGGGCGGGCTCTGGGGCTCGGTCCGCGCCGCCCCCGGTGCGGGCCTCGTGCACTCGTCGCCTCCTTCCTCCCCCGCCCGCAGCTCCCTCCGCTCGGCCTCCCGCCTGCTTCGACCCTGGCTCGCCGCTGCTCCTCCAGCCCTGGCGAGGAGGGGCCCCTGCGCGGCGCAGGACGGGACGGGCTGCGGACGTGTCTGACGCCTTGGACCGCGCGGTCCGCGAGGGTCGGGGGGACCTTTGGGGCGGACGGGGACACTCCGTGGTGCCGCCGTGACGGCCCGCGTTGCCCTTCCCTCCCGCCCCTTCGCGTAGCCGCGTCCGGCTCGGGGCTGCCGGGGGAGGTGGAGCCGCGGCCCCGGGCGTCAGGCCCGCCCCGCTCCGGTCAGGCCGCGCTTCGGGCGGGGTTTTGGGCAGCGGGGGCCGGACCGTGCCGGGTCCGAGTCTCAGGAGGCCGGAAACCCGTGCCCGGGAGCCACCCTGCGGACTCCGACTGCGGCCGGCGGCTCGTCCCGTGCCTGGGTTCTGCGCGTTTGTGCCCCGGCTCCACGAGCGCCGCCCCAGTTGTGTCCCGGGGGGTGAGCGGCTCCCCGGGGCTGCCCGCAGGAACAGGCGGTGCGCTCACCTGCTTCCCCGGGGCGGCTGGGCCATGAGGACGGCGCTCGTGTACCACGAGGAAATGACAGCCGCGCGGCTGCTCTGGGACGAGTAAGTGTGATCTTACACTTAAGGGAGCATGGGGAGGGGGCTCTGGTCGCTGAACTTAGTGTCCACGCAGCCCCGAGTGTGAGATCGAGCGTCCTGAGCGCCTGACCGCAGCCGTGGAGCGTCTGCAGCAGGGTGGCCTGGAGCAGAGGTGTCTACAGTTGGCAGCTCGAGAGGCCTCAGAGGCGGAGCTGGGCCTGGTGCACAGGTCAGACTCCCCGGAGCCACGCACCACAGAGGCCACCGCCTGGGACGTGCAAGCGCCCAGCCGGCCCCAGTCTTGAAAACAGAACTCCCCCCCTGCCTCAGTTTCACTACTGGGTGGATGGGGAGGGAACAGTGAGGTGGGCGGTCCCATCAGGGTCCAACTCCTCCCTCTCCTCCCCTCCCTGCTGGGTTGCGGTGACCTTGTCTTGACTGCCTGCTCCTCTGCAGCCCAGAGTATGTGTCCCTGCTGCGAGGAACCCAGGCCTTGAGCACCGAGGAACTACAGGCGCTGTCTGGACAGTACGATGCTGTCTACTTCCACCCGGTGCGGCCCTGGGGACACCCCCCCCCCCATGCACGTCTGCCTTTCTGTGCCTGTTTTATCTCCGGGGCCCCCCCAACGTTCAGGAATGTGCGGATGGCCTGCGCACCCTACTAGCAGCAGCTGCCGGACCCGCACTGGGCAACAGCCAGGGCAGAGCCTGTGGTGTAGACGGCAGGGGCTCATGGGCACCCCCACCTTCACCCCGCAGAGTACCTTCCACTGCGCCAGGCTAGCCGCGGGTGCTGCACTGCAGCTGGTGGATGCTGTGTTGACCGGAACTGCACACAATGGGTTCGCGCTGGTGAGGTGAGGGCTGTCCCTTTCCTGGTCTGCTCCTACCTGTGGGTGGCCCTGGGAGGTTACAGGATGACCCTAATGGGTCAATCTTCACCCGCAGACCTCCGGGGCACCACAGCCAGAGGGCTGCTGCCAACGGATTCTGTGTGTTCAACAACGTGGCCATAGCAGCCAGATATGCCCAGAAGCGGCACGGCGTGTGCAGGTGTGTCGGGGCGGCTGTGGGGTGGGGGCTGCGCCGGACGGAAAGTGGTGGGGTAGGCTGCTCAGAGACCCCGTGTGGTACTCTCCTGTGCAGGGGTGGGCTCCTCGCCCCCAGGTGGGAGGCCCAGCCCCTCAGTGGCCTGTGCACTCCCTATCCCAGGATCCTCATTGTCGACTGGGACGTCCACCACGGTCAGGGCATCCAGTATATCTTTGAGGATGACCCCAGGTGAGCTGGGGTCATCGGCCTTCCCTACCACCCCTGGCTGGGAGCCACGGGGCTGAGGTCCTGACCTTTGAGGTCCAACTTCTGACCTGGGCCGGCTGTCCACAGTGTTCTTTATTTCTCCTGGCACCGCTACGAGCATGGTCGCTTTTGGCCTTATCTTCGGGAGTCAGATGCAGACGCTGTTGGGCTAGGGCCCGGCCGAGGCTTCACAGTCAACCTGCCCTGGAACCAGGTGCCCACCCCTCCCCCCAGTCCTGCCCCCAGGCCTCCCCCCTGCCCCACAGCCCCAGGCCTCCCGAACGTAGTCCAGGGCATCCTTCCAGGGTCACCCCCTGATCCTGGGCCCCAGGAGTGAAGACCCCAGAGCCTCCCACCCCCCATCCCAGGGCCCAGCTCTGATGCTTGATGGCCGCAGGTCGGAATGGGCAATGCCGACTACATGGCCGCCTTCCTGCACGTGCTGCTCCCTGTGGCCTTTGAGGTAACTGCATGGGGGCTTGGTGTTGGTGGGAGGAGCGTGGGAGGGGGATTCTGTGCTCAGAGTTGCCCCCCCCTCCGCTGGAGCAGAACAGAGCCCCGTGGGTGGGGAGCACTCTCTGGAGGGGCCTCCTTCACCCCCACTCCAGGCTCTGTCTTGCCTGTCCCCACCTGGCCCTGTCCACAGTTTGACCCCGAGCTGGTGCTCATCTCAGCAGGCTTTGACTCGGCGATTGGGGATCCCGAGGTGAGGTCTGGGCCTGGCTGGGGAGGGCGTCTGGGGTCCTGGGGCCGGGCCCCCTCACATGGGGCTCTGGTTCCAGGGGCAGATGCAGGCCACTCCTGAGTGCTTCGCTCACCTCACGCAGCTGCTGCAGGTGCTGGCCGGCGGCCGGGTCTGTGCCGTGCTGGAGGTGACTGGCGGCCGGGGGGCTCACTGGCTGGGTGTCAGGGCACAGTCAGCGGGGCTGCCGTACCCGGCGGGGCGTCCTGCCTGGGCTGGTGGTACCCTGCCCTGCTCACAGCGCTGTCTAGTCGTGTCTCTGTTCTCTCCCTGCTCCCAGGGAGGCTACCACCTGGAGTCGCTGTCCCAGTCCGTGTGCATGGTGGTGAAGGCGCTGCTGGGTGACCCTGCCCCGCCCCTGTTGGGGCCCATGGTGCCTCGGCACAGGTATGGGGCAGGCGGCTGGGCAGGGCTGGGGGTTCGTGGCCAGGCCTGACTGCTCCTGCTTCTCCCCACAGTGCCCTGGAGTCCATCCAGAGCGTCTGGGCAGCCCAGGCCCCTCACTGGACCAGCCTTTGGCGGCAAGGTCAGTGTGGCCCAAGCTGGGAGTGGGGTTGCTCCCACACAGTGGCTTTGACTCTGAACCACTCCCTAGGGTCGACCCCCACACTGAGTCTCAGTACGTGCTCGCCAGAGAGGAGACCCTCCGCCGTGTCGCCTGGGGGACCCAAATGCAAGGCAGCGGAGGCCCAGACCTCGGCTGTCCTGAGTTCACTCCTGGACCAGCTGCACCTCTACACCACACCCCCTGTCCGCACGGTTATCGCCCTGACCACGCCGGCTGCTGCCCTGGTCCTACCCCCTGACGTCCTCCATCAGGAGGGGTCAGCCCCACGGGAGGAGACACAGGCCTGGGCCAGGTGGGCAGAGCAGGCAGGCCTGAGGAGAGGGGTGGGGCTGTGTGTACACGGGTGCCATGATATCTGTGTCACTTCTTGTCCACATGTCCCTCTGGTTTCCCGCCACAGGCTGCATGAGGCCCTGACCCAGGACACGGCTTTCACTGCACTTGGGAAGGTCCTGCATCTGTTGAATGGGATCCTGGATGGGC